TCCTCCCCTTCCTCCTCCTCCCCTTCCTCCTCCCCCTCCTCCTCCTCCTCCCCCTCTTCCTCCTCCTTCTCCTCCTCAGGAGCCAATGTGACTCAGGGCTCCTAATTTTATCCCTGCATGGGCAAGGACAAGCGAGTCAGGCTCCTGCGGGGCATGGGGGCTCTGCGGCCTGGTGTCCAGAAAACAGCTTCTCTCCAGAGCTCTCTGGGAGCTGGGCTCATCACGGAAGAAGTGCTCTGCTGTGGAGGGCAGCGTGGGGCGGGCAGCCAGTGCAGCTGAGGACCTGGCATTGATGCCATGGTCTGAGCTCCCCGGGGAATGGAGTGGAGGCTGGGCAGGGAGTCGGGAGAGACCTGGATGGCTTTAGGGACCCTGACCGGCTGAGCCACTGAGGGAGGGGTATCCACCCAGATGGGGCCCCAAGGACCAGCTTTGGGGAGGGGAGCTCAGGTCAAAGAAGGGAAGTTCAGGGCAAGAACCCAAGAGACTCAAGAAAAGTGGCCAGGAAGGCGCCACCCTCCCTCACCTCCCAGCCTCAGTTTACCTCCTGATCCCTTCCTTGCAGGGTGAGTGGGATCTGCAGCCCCTGCCTGAGGTCCTCTCCACTCTGGAAGAGCCCACCCCACGGTGCCCGGCCAGCCAGGTGCAGCGCCCTGCCGGCCCCACTGTGGTCAGCATCGGCCGTAGCTCAGGCTGAGAGCGGCTCTGCTCCGACCCCAGCTCCGCGCCTCCCACGGCTCTCGCTGGTTCTGCGCTCCCCTGTCCTCTCCAGCTCCTGCACCCCACCTGGGCCTCTGCATGGCCGTGCTGCCCAGTGGACCGACATGGCTCCTTCCACACCTGTGGACTCTGTAAGGGACCAGGACTGAAGGGTCCAGGGCCCACCCGGCACCCCCTGGACAGACTCACCCTGGTGCCACGGTGCACCCTTGTATTTGGTGGTCCCTGTGGGCATATGCAGTGCCGTGCTACTTAAACACTTCCCTGCAGCGTGGCTGTGTCCCTGTGGGCGGCTTCCCTGCCTCAAGGCAGGATGAGCGTGCAGCTAGTCAGAGGCTTGCTGGAGAAACTGCTCCATCGTAGAGTAAACAGAAATTTTCTCCCACCCGAAGGGAAACCCTAACTCTTCCCGCCCTCCGCGAAAGGGAGCTGGCCAAGAGCCAGCAGGGTCCCCGGGAAATGGCTCGGGAGCCCAGGGAAGTGTTGGGATGGGTGCCAAGGCTTCAGCGGGCGGGGGGACCAGCAGGAAGTGGGCCAGGCCTGGGGCAGAGGCCACTGTGGAGCTCTGGTCCCCCGCTTGAGGGCGGTGACAGGCGGGCTGCCTTGCTGCCCGCCTCAGCCTCCTCACCCTCTAGGTGGGCTGGTGTCAGGTAGGCTGGCCGGGGCTCGCCCTGCTGAGCGGATGTCAGAGCCAGGACCCCATGCCTGCTTCAGCCTACTCTCTGGGCCCGGTGCGGTTCCCCGCGCCCTGCCTGTGGCCGGGCATTGTCCCGAGGCTCGGGTGGGTCTCGGTCGACCCCTAAGGCCGGCTCTGCTCTCTGATGGCTTCTGGAGGTGACAGATGCGGCCATGTGCAGCTGCATCAGCACAACACTGCCACTCTGGGGAGCAGAGGCTGATGGATGGGCCCTGGGCCTGCAGACGCCAGCTCAGCGGCCGCATCCCCACGGGCTCGCACTTCATCACAGAACGGATGCACCCAGCCACTGCGCCACACACTGTAAATCACGGCTGTCCATGACTCTAAGTCGTGGGGCGAGACTGCTGTGAAATGCCATGCAGACACCACGGCCAGAGCCCTGGGCTGTCTGTCATCTTCACAGTGACAGGCAGAGCGGCCTCTCCCTGGCTGGCCAGGGACAAAGACCCTAGGCACCCCAGACTCTGGGAAGACCATGAGGCAGGGGGACTCTCTAGCCACAGGGCAGCCAGACTTCCCATGGTCATTGCAGCCCCCAAACCCTGAAGGGCCTGGTGTGTGTCACACACAGACAGAAAACACAATGCCTCGCCTGGGGTTCCGAGGCACCTGTGCTGGGAATCACTACCAGCCCCACGCTGCCATCCACAGTGACACCCCAAACCCACGCTCCCGCCCCCACTCCTCCTCCCGCAGAGACCTCACTGGCCCAGCCCCCGGCCCAGCCAGGGTGACCAGCACGCCCCAAGAGCTGCCCCTTTGCCCAGCTCTGGGCCAGCCCGACAAGCCTGCCTGGCCCCACTGTCTGTTCCCTGGAAGGGAAACTGAGCCTAGAAGGAACCCAGCAAGGTGTAGCAGCTCTGGGGTCTTGGCTTCCCACATCCATTTCCTCGTTTATGAAGCAGGAGGCCTGGGACAGGGAACTAACCAGAAGACGCAGGGACACTGCCCTCTTGGCAGGGAGGGAGCTAGAGGGAGCTGTGTGGCCAGGACCCCACAGGCTCAAGGCAAGGGGTGGCCAGGCTCCACCTCCGAAGGCCTGGGGTGGTCGAGAGAGCAGGGCTGAACCAGGCTGAACGGCCTTCTGGCCTTCCCTTCCTTGGCCTGGGTCTGCCCACACAAGACTGGGTGACTGAGGAATGGCTTGAGGGGAAGCTGAGGAAGGAGTCAGGCTGGGGAGGGCGGCGCTGAGACCCCGAGCCTTGGGCAGTGGCTCTCGAAGGCTTCCGACCTGCAGAGGGAGGGCACAGCGTCCTCGCGCTCCCGCGGCCCACCCATCTCCGTGTCCCTCCTGCGCTGGGCGGGCGGTGCCGACCCATCTCCACTCACTCTGCCCGATTCTCGGCTCTCACCCAAGGCTCCCCAGCCCGGCGCAGGTCAGCCGAGTGCCAGCTTCTTCTACATCATTTACCAAGTTTTACTTCAAGGCTTCTAAGACGCTCACGGGGTTACAAAGCGAGTCCCTGTGCCCCAAACTGTACAGATTTGCTTCCGGGGAGGCCTGGGGTGAAGCAGGCAGTCAGTGGGCACTGGCCAGGCCACGGGGATCTCTGTCCATTCCTGGTGTGGGGCATAGCAGGCCAGGCCCAGGCTGAGGACAGGGAGGGCCCAGTGGGGTGGCAGGTGTGTTCCCCCGCATGGCCATGGCCCAGCCTCGGGCCCCTCAGTAGATCCCCTTCACCCTCTTGTTGTCGGGGTCGAAGGGAGATTTCAGGTGGACCTGGGCAGCATAAGTGACCCCCATCCTCTCCAGGGTATAGTCTCCACTCTTCACGAAGTCCAGCGAGACCTAGGGGCACAGGAGAGGAGTGCTGCTGTCACTGGTGGGTGCTGGGCTTCTTCTCCCCTGTTCTGCGGAAGGTGACCATCTCTGGGCTCACCCTCCTGGTCCTTGTGTGGGCACACGGGGGGAGCTCACATCCCACGTGCCCAGGGGGCTCTGCCCTGGCACTTGGGGGGGGCTCCTCGCTTTTCAGATGGGGTCAGATGAGAGGGGCGTCAGTGGGGCCTAGGGGCTCCCACAGGCCGCACCCTCCCGCCCCAGGAATTCCAGATCCCTGGGAAACAGGCAGGGCCACGGCGGCCCTGGACTGGGGCCAGCACGACAGCTGCGCAGGCAGAGCAGGAGGCTGGCGGCCAGGCCGCGGGCCTTCAGGGGCAAGCAGGGATGGAACAGCTCTGGACAGCGTGGCCTCCCCAGCCCACGCCTGGCTCAGCTTTCCCAGAAGCCCTGGGGGCCAGGAGGTGGCCCTGTGTCTGGACTGGCCCAGCGGATGATGCCACACTGGCCGTGCCTTGGGCCACCTGGGGGCCTGCTTGTCCTGGAAAACAGCCACACTGCAGCAGCTGCGGGGGGCGCCTGCATGCTGGACTGGGACGCTGGGGCCTGCTCACATCCCCAGAAGCTCAGGATGAGGGGAGAAACTAATACAGCTTTCTGTGCCTCGGAACTTTAAGGGGCAGAGTAAGGAAGGTGGGCATCCAGGAGTGGGCAGCGCGGAGCGGGCACAGTCCCTGCTAACAAGCACCCGTGGCCAGGAATCCAGCCCAGTCTGGCTTCTCCAGGTGGAGCAGGGCTCGGTCTAGGAAGGAGTCTGTGCCATGGCCTATGCACCGGACAGCATTGTACAACCCCAGAGGAGAGTCCTGATCTGAAAATCAGGTAAATCACAGAGGCCCTGATTTCCACAGGCTGGAGAGGCTCTCGGGGCCTGGCCTCTGGTGTGGAGGGCTCAGCGTGGCATCCTGGGTCACAGTGCAGACAAAGCGCCCCGAGTGGCAGGGTGGCTTTGAGGGAGAAGGCAGGGGGTGAACCCCCGTACAGGGAGCTGGCTTGGTCTCCCAGGGTCAGAGATGGCTCCAGATCACCACGCAGCGTGGCAATGTGTCCCATAAGGAAGTGTGGGGTCTGTCTCTATTTTGTAGATGGGAAAACAAGTTCTGAGAGAGGCTGCTTATCCAAGGTCACAGAGCAAGGCCAGGGCAGCGCCCCGAGGCCGACGACGCGAAGCTGGGTCCCAGCCTGGCAGCTGTGCTCTCCCTCCACCCCGCTGCCAGCCCTACCCGGGCAGAGCTGGGCCCTTCCCTGCCCATAGCGCTGGCCCATGGGCTGGAGCCGGGCCAGCACCTTGGGGCATGCAGGGCAGGGGCCTCCCTCAGGGCTGCCTGCCCATGAGTCCTGTGACCACTCCTGGGCACTGAGTCAAGGGGGGAGGAGCGTGGTGCCCGGAGGTCTCGGGGGACCCTAGCTGCACCCCAGCAGGAGGGTATGTGGCAGCCCAAGGTCATGGCCTCCAGCCTCAGGAGCTCAAAGTCCCTGGCCCTGGCCCCGTGCCACCTCCAACCAGGAAAACTGCAGAGCTGCAAAGCCAGACCCCTTTGGAGACAGGGAGGTGACAGGAGTCACGTGGCTGGCAGTCATTCCTGGGGCCCTGGGCTGCCCCCCTCTCCCTCACCAAGCCCTCAAGGCATGGGGCTCACCGGCCCGCCGCTGGGGTCACGGATGTAGCCATAGGCGATGGTCTTGCCCACGGCAAACCCAAAGTCGGCCCTCCGCACGTGGCCCACCACCTGGCCGTCCCTCCAGATGGCCTCCAGGCCGAACATGGGCACGTTCCTGCAAGAAGTGGAGAGAGAGCTAGGACCCCGGGTACCAGGATTCCCGCAGTGGCCTAGGGGGATTGGAGCTAGGTCCCACAGCACAGGCCCACCCCTGGGGACCCTGCCGGCCCCATCAGAGGCTGTGAGCAAGCAGGTGGCCAAGGGAATGCAACAGAAGCCAGCCCGCGTGTCGGCAGAAAGCCAAGCTGAGGCCCCTGTCCAGGGCACGGCGTGGTGGTCTAAACGTCCCCCTGCTGGCCCTGCTGGCCTGCAGTCCGGTCCTGTCAGGACTGAGGGTGCCATTTCTCCACCACAGGTACAGACCAGTGCTCACTGTCACCATTTTGAATACTCATAATAGGAGACAGAGAAGCCAGGAACTAAAATCACAGAAATGCAGCAGCCCAGCGCTGGTGCCACGCACACACTGCAGGCCGACGGAGCCTACACAGAGCTCAGAGGGCTGGGCAGATGCCACCTGGGGCACTCGAGTCCCCCCAGACAGACAGGGTGTGGACATCCTGTCTCCTTCAGCCGGGCTGAGGCCCAGGAAGGCAGTGCTGCTCCTTTGCAGCATCCCCAGGGCTCCCGGCACCCAGCGCCAAGGCCAGGGCCGCCCTCTGTCCCCCAGAGCAGAGTGGTGTGTCCCAGGATGCCGCAGGGCCAGGCATCAGGCTGAAGGATGGTGACAAATGCCAGCCTACTCCTGGCCTCTTGTCACTCTTGACCCCTTCTGTTGGCCTCGGGAATCTGGGAGGAGTGCCCAATGGGCTTTCAGG